CCACCTTATCCCCCTTCACCATACTTGGCAGCACTGTATCAGCAGTAAAGTCTTTCAAGTTCCTGGGCTCCACTATCTCCCAGGACCTGACGTGGATGTCCAACATCAGGACCATCATCAATAAGGCACAGCAGAGGATGTACTTCCTGCGCCAGCTCAGGAACTTCGGCCTGCCCCAGGAGCTGCTGATACAGTTCCACAGATGAATCATCGAGTCTGTTCTCTGCACCGCCATCGCTGTCTGGTTTGGCTCAGCAACCAAACTGGACAAGTACAGACTCCAGCAGACAGTCAGGACTGCAGAAAAGGTCATTGGTGTGACCCTGCCTTCCATGGAGGACCTGTACACCTCATGGGTCAAAAGGAGGGAGGAGAGGATCACTGCAGACCCCTCACACCCTGGACACAATCTGTTTGAACTCCTCCCCTCTGGACAGCGTTATAGGTCACTCTGCATCAAGACAAACAGACACAGGGACAGTTTCTTCCCCCTTGCTGTCACTCTGATGAACACTTAACCATCGACAGTATGACTGGACAATAACCCTCAGTGCAATACCTGTAAATATATACCTTATACATATCGATCCATCGAATCCAGACTGTGTGTATATAGTACTTTGTTTACTCCAAAGGCACATTCCTTTGCTTGATTGCACTTTACTTCTGTTCTCAGCCTTACATTGGTTACTTTCCCACTGCTGCATTACATAAGGCCATGTACATGCGCATTAAGAGCTGCTGTACTAGAGTCAAATTTGTCATGTGTCCAACACAGCTGGCCAATAAAGCTGATTCTGAGATGTATAATCAAAGGATGTTAACTGCTAAGGTACAAATGTGCTCACTGAAAGCCTTTTTGTTCAAAGTGAAGCAAACATATTAAAAACAAAACATGACAGGTTGAATTTATGGAGCATATCATGCTTTAAACTCAAACTTTTTCCATTTCCCCCTTAGGCAATCCTTAACCAGATGTCCTTCTGTGGCCAGACAATCACCAGCAACATTCTTGAGGACATGCATAAAGACAGGCAAATCTGTTTATAAATGCACCATTTATTATTGAAATCAAATGTTTACAAAACTTATAAACATCCCAGCTCCATCCCAGCTCAGCCAGCTGCTTAAGTTTTGGTCTAAGATGGGAAAACCCTACTGGTGGGGGTTATCACAGCAGAGCACCTCACGTTTTTCTCCATGCTGTTGCACTGCATGTGCCTGGACCACAGTTGTGAAGACTTCTCCTGTAGTTACATGACTAGAGAGTCTTTTACTGGTTTCTGCTACTGGTTAATAAGATTGCACAAGGATCTAAATCACACTCACAAAATGATCTATCGTGCCTTGACAGAGTATCAAACCCCGACCTGCTGTATCATAGTCGGTAGTGTTAACCACCGAGCTATCCACCTGCTGTATAGGAACACATTTACTGGTTTCTGCTATTGGTTTAATTGCTTAAAATAGAAGCATTAAAGTTCACATGGTACTGCACAAACGGTCACACAGTAAGACACACACAGCATCCACATGAATTTTCTTCAGAAAATGCATTTGTTTAGTTAATTCTGATGTTTGAGGGAAATAAGCTTGTTTTTGCCTTGGCAATTAATATCTGAAATGTTTGGAGTATATTGGTAGTACAAATTGGTATTAAGAGTGCCATAAATAATTCTCTGTATACTAATATTTTACTGAATTTAGGTTCCTGTGTACACAGTTCCACTCATGCGGTCACAGCCTGCAGTGCATAGATTTGACCACTGGGGGGTCTTGAGAGCCAATATCCACTATTGAAAGAATATCTTTAGTGAGGTGTCTTGTCCTTGTTCATTAGCAAGATGCTAATGTGTTTATAGCCAGGCACTGTGTGCAACAGTGGCCTTAATGCATCATGATTATAATTTGATAAACTTTTGATTAGTTGAACTGTGGGAGAATGTCACACACAGCACAGGAATGGACCATATACAAGGGAAGCAAATCGAAGCTAAAGGGAGCAGATTTAGAAAAAAAATACATTGATGAAAAATTGTTTAAAAAAAAAACAGCCAGCAAAAAACAGATTTGAATAAATGGTGAGACACTGATGTTTTCAATGTGAATACACACGTTTAAGTTTCAAATGTGATGCAGTTGTAAGATTTCACTTTACAAGGAGTGTGTCCTCACATAACACATCACTGCTGACAGGAGAGATACTGGGTGTGAAAGCAGACCATGGCATCTCAAACATGAAGAGGCCACATTCCCCAAATATCACACAGACAGCAAGTGGTGTCCTTCTTACAGCTGAGTTTTCACCCTGTTTTCCTTCTAACAGAAGTTTCATTTATGCCAGTCACACAGTAACCATGCTATGTAATGGCAGCTCATAAATCTAACCACAGAGTTAGGCTGTGGTTGTTCAAACATATTTGTTTGTTTCCATAACGGACTCGAGATATCAAAAGTGCTGCTCTATGAGTGAGTGACATTAACTTTAATATGTAGTTTACTTTATATTCACTTTAAAATCAACATTTTGTTTGTTTTCCTCATTGCATCATTTCAACTCTTTGTATTGACAGAAACTAAATAATTCTTCTTCTTCAGATCTACAAGACATTGCATCACTCTGAAGACATCTACTAAAAGTAAGCACAAAAATAACCCCTTATTATTCAGATACAATGAAATTTCTTAGCATAGACCCTTTTTTTAGTCCAGAGGCTTTGTATGGACAGAATGATGTCATATCCTTTTCCTGTGGTGCAGAAAGAAAGCTTTGTCTTGTCGAGGCCAGGCCTGGTCATCCAGCTCACACATTACATTCACATGTCATGTGTATCAGCTCTGCCAGTTGGAGCACTATGACATACTCTACAAACTAGTCCGTTCAGATGGTAACAGAATGCCAGTGGTGCCTACACTGTGTACTGTACTGTTCCTGCTTGTTCATATAGTAATCCTTGTTTACAAGAGTGTAAGAATTCACCATATATTTATTTGCAACAGTAAGATAAGCAATCATTTATAAAAATAAAAAAAAATTGATGCAACAGTGCTTTAGATTAAATAACATTCAGACTCAATATCCATGTCCAAAGTTGTTGCTTTGAACGTAGGTTTAACTACCAGTTGGTAAATGAATTATTTTTTAAATGGCTTTAACAACCTGACAATGTCCAATTATTTCACTGCAGTATTTCAGGGTGCTGACAGGTACCACTGAACTGCAACAAGGTCCAGATTTGTGCACCTGGTATTACTCACATTGTGGGGATCGAAACCTGTTTACACGCTCGCATTGTGGGGGACTCAGGCACTTTGTCTGCAAACAAAGATTCTTCTCAGTGAAAACATGCAAAAAATAAACAAATCCTTGAAAGGCATACTGCGATAATCATTCTATATTAAGAATGGATCATAGTGACAGACTCAAAGAGAATTATCACCTGACTGCCGCTGGTATCAACTTGGACAATTTCAGTGTCGGAGTGTCTGTCTATTGCTTTGGTTTTCTGGCTTGGAACTGTGCTGTTCTGCTTCATTTGGCCACAGCAGACAGCTGATTTTTTAGAGAAAGCTTCCGATAAACCCATGGTACATGACCTGCATAGAAAAAAAAAACAAAAAACAGCCAGTTAGAGAAAGGCAGCACATTCACTGGCCCCTGCTTTTCACCACATGAATGGTAAGAGAACATTTTGGCATGTGGAAAACAGTTATGAGTAGTAGTGTTGTCGACACTACTCAGGGGTTTTACATGATCCTTCCTAGGCAGTGCTCTCCATCATGGGGATGTAATTGCGTTACATTTGAAAGTAACAAAGACACCTGGAGCACTGTAGGAAAACATTATTTACTAAATGCATTTAGTGCTCTCATTAATTACGCATGTGTGATTAAGTTGCTGTCCAGTTTTAAAAAGAAAAAGATGACATGCAGAGCAGTTACTAACGAGAAGCATATGTTGTCCATTGCCTCACTCTAGCCCCCCCAAATCTCCCTCCATTTCCCATCTGGGTCCTTCCGGCCATCACCCCAGTCACCTCCCACTTCCCTGTTCCTTCAGAACCTGTCTGTTTTTGTTTTCGAGGCCGGGCTCTTTGCACAGGAAACTGTATATGTTGGGAGCATTCAGGATGGCAGAAAACAGCTTTCCCATTAGCTCCAAGTTTGGACACATGGAAAAAAAAGGAATATAAGAGGTTAGTAATTCCTAAACCTGGAGAGAAACATAAGTCAGCTGTTCTCCTCCCCTCACTTACATTTCCCTCCCCTTAACAAATTTGAAACATTTAAAAAATCCCTGCCACATCACTGCCACGAGTCCATCTCTGAACTGAAAAATCTTAAAGGGAAGCCAGATAAAAATGAAAAACCTATGTTGAACTTATGAGGGGGATTTTCCTCTCTTGATATATGCAAACTTCCTCAGTCACAGAGAAGCCAGTGAAAAGAGGAGACTATGGAATGAAGGAAAAGAGGAGGGGATAAAAAGGAGCAGAGAGAGACTGGCTGGGGGTAAAAGAAAAACAACAGGAAACCGACCAGTTCTAATGCTGTTTCTGCAAATCCTTCAGGGACAGCACATCGGACTGCCACGTCCCAGCAACATTCACACTGTCTTTTCTTTGATCATTACTTGAAGTAATGACTATGTAAAGGATTTAAAGTTTAAAACGTGACGTCACTTCTGCTCTCAGCCTCCAACAGCCTGAGTGTGAGCGGATGCAGACTTTTGGCAGTCGATTCTGGGATTTCTGTGCGGCTGCTTTTTGACCTACAAGCTCAAACCTTTCTAGTGGGGTCATATGGATCAATTGCTGTGCTTTCAAAGATCGTTTTGTTTTCAACATTTGGACTAACTGGAGCCACATGAAGAATAAGGGGACTAAGCAGAAGTCCAAAAAGAAAGGAAGTGAAAATGCGTTCGGCTGTGACCTGATGGAACATCTCCAGAATTCAGGACAAGATGGTAAACTTTCCATTTTGCTTTCTTTGAAATCTAACAGTCCTTTACAAGCAGCTATCATCAAGTTACACATTATTCCTTTGATCAATCAGTTGAATCATTTGGCACAACAGTTATACTGAATATTGGGCATTTCATGCTATATAACAGCTATTATAACCTTTTACACACACACGATGTGCTTAAATCAAGACAAAAAGGTGTCTAAAGGTTTCTTTATGTACTAAAAACAGTCTTTGTTCAAAGGTTATGTACTGTCTATAAACTGTAGTTGTACATGTGTTTTACATTCAGTAAGACAATTCATTCACTCATTGGCGGCACTACACCATCATTTGAGACTTTGGGTGTGGCTCTCGCATTTTATTGTTTTTTTCTGTGTGTGTGTCATTTTTGTATGGTGACTATGGCTACTATGACTAGTTTTGTGTTTGACTGAAGACTGGGTGGTGCTGCTGCTGCTGCCTATTCATAAGTGAGCCAGGACAAGGAGAACAAATGTATCCTAAAATATTCAAATATATGTAGACAGGGTCGTCCGAGAGGTTTCTTTTTATTTTTCTTCCTTTTCTCTTTTATATTTAATCTCTTCCATTTTTTCTTCAGATACTTTGGTCTTTTCTCACAACCACCATCTGTGATTTTTTTTTGCCTGTGCCTATGTATAAATGAATAGACGTGCAGATGCATATAAATAGTTGTCTTGATTAAACTTTAAGGAAGACCTGTTAGACTGGACACACTTTAAGGCGGGGCATTCAGTACAGGAAGTGAGGGAGGATCTTCAGGTCGTACCCTCCGTCATGGATGTCCAGCAGACATATTGTGATTTTAGGCTGGTAATGGATTTGCTTGTTAATGTCTTTAATGAACGCAACTGAAAACCACTGATAGCTACTGACAAACAAATGGAAACACACAGTAGATGTGAAGTTTGGACATAGTGAACATCAAAAACCTTATTTTGAAAGTTTGAAACACATCTCTGAGCAGGCTGTTATATTGTACCTGACCTTCTTGTGTTATGTGCATAGCTCTATTTTGGTGTGTTTACAGTTGCACATTCACAGTCTCTTGGCATTGATGAGGTCCTTAACATCCTTCTGATATAATAAATATGAATATAGCCCTTTTTACTCATTGTAGAAAATGAACTGTCTCTACATGTATTACTGTATAACACCTAGTTTTTTTTTTGAGACATTTAACCTCATCAACTGTAAAATAAGACAAAAAGGCAGAGAAAATTATACATAGAAATATCCAATTAGCAACTGGGAATTATCAATTCAATTTGCACAAGGTGAAAATCTGCTATGGATGAAACTCACATTTCCTTTCAAGCTGTCATAATTATTTCATTCTGAAAGCTGTTGAAAACAGTTGTGTCATGTTGCCTTTCAGGAAGCAGCTCCCAAAAATCAACAGACACCAAAAAAATAGGTTTCCTCAGGAGGAAGGAAGTTGTAGAACTATTCAAAAACTTTTCTCTTTACCAATTTTATGAAAAGGCTGTTTTAACCTGGCCTTAAATCTTTAAAGGTGCCTTACAATATGACAGTGTTACTATAAAATGCTCTTTATGTTTACACATAGGCATGCTGACAGAAAGAGAATAATTGCAGGGGTATTAAAGGACTTTTTAAAGCCAACCATAAGTTCAAGCATTTCATGTTCCAAACCAATAACATGCTGTCGACGCTGTGTTGAGACTGAGTCATATTTCAACTTGAAATGTTGCGCAACACACACGTCATGCATTGATTTAATGTCACATGCTACCTTAAAGTGTCTGTATTAATCAGCAGAGAATTAAATAGCCATGTCTCCAGTCCACTTTAGTCAAATAAATGAGCATGTAAGAACCCTGGTCTGCAACAATTCCTGGGAAACAAACTATATCCAAACATTTTTATTTTGTGGAGGATGAATTTAGCATTTTTTCCATAGTATGATCAGGACTGTACTTAATGGCACAAGGCACAGAACTAAAATGTAAAGGCTTAGAAAGACAAAATAAATATACTACCAATAGAATAAGATTATTAAGATAATGTTCATTCCTGCAGCCAAAAGGATTAGAGCTGTAAAGCAGCATTTGGATCTGAAACACTCAAAAAATGTTAAAAATGATGTTTTTAAGCTTTATTTTAATCAGTTATGTCATCCACTATCCACTTTTCACACATATTGAGTATCTTCTTCAAACCTGCACTAACAATTAATTACTCAGTCATTTTCAAGTTTAAAAGTCAACTTGTTGGCCTGTGTGAGATCCAATTTAATTGCATTTGATGTTGATGAATTGATATTTTATTTTCGCTCCTCTAGTTAAAACCTGCTGATCTTATGTTTTTGTGTAAAACTGTGAAAATAAATCGCAATGCAATTGAAAATACAGAAAAGTCAGATTCTCAGTTAGCTGTACATTTTACTAAGGTCAGCGGGCTCGTCCTGTATCCATGTGTGCATTCATCTGATTCAGCAGAACAGCTTCATCAAAGTGAAGTGATTTGCAAATAATTGATATTTTCATTATTAGCTGCAGGGAAGCTGTGTTCACACTGAATCAGAGCATGTGATTTCACAGACACTGGAAAGCCAAGCACTGTTGTGTACACAAGATGATGCACTGGAGTTCAGAGAGTTGTGTTGATTGGTGGTAACATTAAAAAAAGCCATTTTCTATTAGAGGAAATGTCGTAAGTAATACCAGCTACAAGGACCGGGTGTGTCAACCTTCCTTTGAAACAAACAAACCATTTTTAACTTCCTGTCTAAGTCTACCTACAGTGAGCAGCCCTAAGGAATAGAAAACAGTCATAGTGGAACAAACCCCATACATAACACAGCCCTGTGTGTATTGTTAACAGAGTCCTCAAGGGTTATTTTGGGTGAGTGTCTGTTACAGTTACACTTTAGAGAAAAAGGTTAAAGTTTAATTTTAGATTTAGAGGTTAGTGATTTCACTGTAAAATGCAATATCAGTCCTGCTTCACAGAAACATCACATTCTAAAGTGTTTTCTTCACCTGCTTTCAAGATTTAATGTGACCATCAGGCCAAATGAAGTGTAAACAAGCTAAAACAGAGGAAAATAGGTGTTAAAGTTTTTCTAACAGTATATGACTAACAGTTTCTTAACTCAAGTTCCTCAGGTTCTGAAGAAATGTGCAGAGTTTATTGAGAAGCATGGGATTGTGGATGGGATCTACAGACTGTCAGGGGTCACCTCAAATATCCAGCGCCTCAGGTAGGCTGCAACAAAGTTCAAACTGTATATTTGTCATATGCACAGTTAGGAATGAAATTCTTACTTTGCGAATGCCACACAATACAAGTGAAATATAAAGTAGATGAGCAATAACACAAATCTAAATAGGCAGTAACACAAATCTAAGGCACTTTAAAGCAGCAAGTGAAAGAAGCACAATAAAAATACAAGAAGAACATACTGTATCTGTTGCACAGTGATGATTTTCTTTAGGTTTACAATAGTAGAAACTCCCTCTGATGATGCTATGTATGACACATGAGGAAACATAGTCTCTAAAAAATATCAGATACTAGATGAAACATTAAGTTTTTAGACAATTGTGCATGTACTGTACGCACCACCTCTGTATGCATTCTCAATAATGACTGGTTTATATAGCCTGTTTGGAGCAGTTACAATTGTTCAGTAAAAAGTGATGCTGTGCAAATCATGCCCATTAAATTAGGTGAGTTTTAGTCCATCACATAAATAGTCATAGTCTAACATACATATCATTGTTGTCTCATTTTAGCGTGAGCTTGTTTAGCTGTTATGTATTTATATTAAGACTAGCATAGACCTAAATATAATACTGCAACAGTAGTTAGCAGGGGTGTTAAACAATCAAAGCATTCAGCTAACTGTGTGTGTGTGCAGGCAGGAATTCTGCTCCGAGGCGTGCCCTGACCTTACAAAGGAAGTGTACCTCCAGGACATCCACTGTGTGGGTTCCTTATGCAAGCTGTACTTCAGGGAGCTACCCAATCCTCTGCTCACATATGAGCTATACAGCAAATTCACTGTGAGTACATCAAAATCACATTTACAGTGTTGATAATGGAGGAGAAAAATGCGGTCGTTCCACACCAGATTTATTCAAATTTCATGGTTTACAGATGGTAATACATAACACAGAGAATGCCACCCCAACAACAGAAGTCAGTAAGCAGTATTGTCCCTCAGTATGTTTGCGTCAGTGATATGTAGACCTTATTTATTAATATTTTTCAGTGTGACCTCAGCTCTCTGGCCCACAGTTTTCATGTGTTCCCTAATGAATACAGTATCATAAGCAGATGCCAACTGACCTGTAAGCAAAGGACATTTTACAAAAATACCAAACATTCCTTCTGCCACTGTCGGATTTATGATCATTATTTTCTTTGTTTGCTGCCTTATAATCATAAAAAGATGTCCCTGGATAAACAGTATGACAAATCGATTATGAGGCACTGAATGTTTCTGATCTATTTGAACTTTTATGTGCGTTCTTATGTTTGTGTTTTTCGTGCGCTACCATGTTGCCAGGCTGTCGTGGCAAATGTCTGGTTCTGATACACTGTATATCTAAAGAGTTTGAGTCAAAGACAAAAGCATTATGTTTCTGGCCCTTTTGGCTCACGGTGGAGTTTAAGGTTTGTAATGAAGCAAGTGCAAAACATTAAAAGTATAATGAAAAAGTAAAATGAAGACAACACACTAACACACTGTATCCCAACTGTAAAACTTTGTTGTTGTCTTGGAAAGATTGAAATTAGTCTTAATTTTTAGACAAGTTGCATGCTTGGTGAGACTATATAAAATTTCTACATCTATTTTATCTGACAAAATGCAGTAGATTGTAGCCTTTGTGCATATAATGTGTGACCTTTTTCAAGTTAATCATTGTGCTTTAGCCATTAGACATACTGTAAGTCCAGATGCATCCTGGAGCGCAGAAGACTGTGCAAGTTTTAAGAACTATTCATGTCTACAACCTCACACATGACTCACAAATGTAGCTAACGTGCTCCGCCATTTAGGCCTCAATCGCATTAGTTTGACTGCATGCACCCCAGCATGTCTGTTTACAACTTATTTAGCAGGAGAGGCTGGGTGACAGTCCAAGTCAGGCTAGGTGGAAACCTGCATGCCATGCAAAGGGATGAGAGCCTAACCATACAGTTCATCAACACATTCATCCTGTATACTGGTAATGTGGGAAATCCCACATAACTAGATGTTATGTTACTCTAAGGGTATATAAGTGCTGCAGACAAATTAAAAATCATTAGCAGAAAGAATTTCAAGAGAGCTACAGAGATCACAAGCTTAGAAATCCTGTGTATATTTGGGGTTAAAATGGATGTAAGAAGGAAAATCTAATTTAGAATTTAGGCAGTTTTCTAGACCATAATCAAAGGCTGAAAAGAAGTCATCAAAATGTTGCCTAGGCACAAGGGTCTCACATCAGTTTTTTGTTTTTTATAACTGACCCTTAATGTGAATTCTTTGATGTGGACATGCAGGAAGCAGTCACAGTCCAGGGGGATAATGAGAGACTTTTATACATTCAGAGGGTCGTCAAAGAACTGCCGACCCCTCACTTCAGGTGAGCTCTATTCCTTTTTGCTCTCAGTAGTTAGGACAGTTGTACAGCTGGTAGTCGTGTTTGCTAGGTCTTTAATAATACTGTTGTAAATGTGACAAGAAGTTGTCAATTCTCCACAGAACTCTGGAGTACCTTACTAAGCACCTGGCCCACCTTGCCACTTTAAGTGCCCAGACAAACATGCATACACGTAACCTGGCCCTGGTATGGGCTCCAAATCTGTTAAGGTGAGTTTAGTTTTACAGGTGTGTTCATTCTTTAGATAATGAAGAAGAAAATGTAGAGATACTTTCCAGTCTTAGTATCTTTTATATTTTTAATTTTTAACTTTTTGTTTCTTTAACCCCAAAGTATTTATTCTAAAAGCTCGTATTCATTTCTGTAGATTATTCTGGAAAGTTTGCATAAAGGATTTCAACGTTTATTCTCCTAGATCTAAAAACATAGAGGCACCATCTGGTAATGGAGACATGGCTTTCCAGGAGGTGCGGATACAACAGTCAGTGGTTGAGTTTATTCTAAACCACACCGAGCAGATCTTCAGCAGTGAGTCTGTGCAACTCGAGGCCAAAGAAGGTATGACATTCAAAAAATGCAAATTATTTTCTAGGATATTTTTGGTGACTGAAAAAACGGTCTCAACTGTCCTTCTCCAGGACCGAGTTTGATGTGTGGGGAAAAGTACGCCACGCTCCCGCTCAGTGGCCAGTGTGGGCCGATGAAACTAATGAGTCTGGAAGAAGCTCAGGCCCGCTCCTTAAGTCCAAACCATCCTGTGCATAAAGAACGTCAGCGGGAGAACAGTCTGCCTGATTCCAGCACTGCCACACTTTACCATACTGTCATAGACATATCAGACAGCAAGTATGGCAGATTTGAGTTCAGTCTTTTGAGTCATTACAAGTATAATTAACTAACACAATGATATAATAATGATCTCTCTATTCACTAAGTGTTTCTTACTGTCAGTACAACTGCGCGAATGCACTGCGTTCAGTAACCTCTGTTTATCTGTTAGGAGGAAGTTTTCAGGGAAATCAAAAAAGTGGAAGTCCATCTTCAGCCTGGGAAGGTCTGTGGACTCGAAGGGAAAACTGAGCCGGAACGGTAGCGTGTTCATAAGAGCACAGGGGATAACAGGTAACAGGAAGTTAAAAGTCAACCATACCCATTTAAAGAAAAGGCCACTAAATGCATACGCTGTTCCTGCAGTCTAAGGCAGTCCAATGTGAAAATAAAAAGCAATAACAAACAACAGAGCCAGATCTGCAACATTATCACACAAAGAGAGATTATCATCCAAGGATATAGGGATGTAGGGATAGTAAAGAGTAGAGCACAGCACTGCAAGATGAAGCTAAGGGGTTGAATCTTGGAATCGAAACAAGAAAAAAAGGTTCAGCTTCACAAAGTGATACTTTTTTAAAAGCTTTTATTTAATATTTGCTTTTGCTATTTTAAATGTGAAATACTATATAATGTCACTTCTTCTGCCCAATAATTATTCAGATGTAGCAATCACATTTTGGTTGAAGAAGGAATTCTGAGCTATAATTTTATTCAAATTTCAAGATGTGTTTTTAATTTTGTACAGCTTCCAAATACTTAAAATGTACTGTAAAATTGTTTTGTTTGCAGAAAAAGCAGCTCTTCGTCCATCCAGGAGCATGGAGTCCTTGTGCTCCTTACCAACAGGTTGGGCTCAAACCTAGCTATCTTAATTTAAATAGGGCAAATTCATTATTTTACATACTACAAAGTTTGTCTTTGCCTTATCAAAAGGTGTTGGTACATCCATTACCATGAACTGATTTGTCCCATGTTATTTTAAATTTATCACATATGCTATTTTTACTGGACAGATGATGACAGGACAGGACACAGCAGTCCAGCTGGTGGACCCCGCAGCATTTTTGTTCCAGATGTCAAATCCAGAACGCTGGAATTGGACTCGCTTTACGAACTGAGTGAACAGGACCAAACCTGGGAGTTTAAAGGGCAGAAAGCTGGTGGGGCAACAGGTGCCTGGACCTCTAGCATGAACCAAAAAGGGTCACCAGGTGCTTCTGTGCCCTCACAAAAAACACTACCAGAGCAACTGAAGGTGTTCAAAGGTGATGACGTCAGTGGCTACAAGCCCACGTCTCCAAAGAACAGGAGGATGTTGTACTCGGGCTCCTCCCATAACAGCTCCTCTCGGCCCTCCTTCCCAGGTAACTTCTTCCCGCTGGAGTCCTCGCCAAGGCATCAGCGCAGAGCTGTCAACATATCTGAGCCTTTTGCTGTGTCTGTACCCCTGCGTGTCTCCGCTGTTATCAGCTCTAACAGCACACCATGCAGGGGACATGCCAAGGACAAAGCAGCTGCTCTGAAACCCTGCAAAGAAACCTCAGAGGTGGGCAGCAACAGTGGAAAGAGCAACACGCTCCCCCAACTGGAGACGACGCAGCAGGAAGGAATGGAGAAAAAAAACACAGAGGAGCTGAGCTCTAGAGTACCGTCAGAAGGTGAGAACATCTCCCTTGATCACATTTTAAAATAGCTTGTTGCTTTACATATAAAAGTTATAAATGTGTAATAGGATGTATGAAAAAAAAACTTTCCTTTTAAACTTAGATACAAGCAAAGAAATGGTGCCAGAAGGTCAAGGGCGGATGATGAGTTCTGAACTGGAACCACTCCTTCTTGTAAATGCACGAGAGTTCAAGGATGCAGCGCCATCTCCTGGGAAAGAACTGCACAACCCGCCCATACCTAAACAACTGGTAAATCATTTGCTAGAGCTAGCACTGTCTGTCGAGATAAAAAGCTAAAAATACTTAAAAGTCAGCTGATCAAAGGCCACACTGCATCAGCTTTCGGTAACTTATTAGTGCGTTCAGATTTATCACTAGTTCCTCCAGTTCTCAGGAATCATCAAATCAAGTCAAACTAATCAAGACAGATTACTGGGATTTACAGGTGAAAATAGAAGATTGGTCTCTGAATCCAAATATTCACATTTTAAAAGTATGACGAGATGCATTCGTCTGCACTTTTTAAA